CTAAAGCACACTTTCTTGCATCTATTAAAACAAAGCGTGAAATAATGTCGCGGACACCAGATAGTGCAGCCCGATGCCCCGAGCATGATGAGCAGCCAACCTATGAGGAGCAAGCACTACAGGACCTGCTTACTCAGGAGCAATTCAATAATGAGTTAGAAAAGGATCTAGAAGTGATGCTTACTCAGGAGCAGTGTGACGAGGAGGAAGGGGGAGTAGAAGGAAGAGCAGGAGAGGTTGCTGAAGGCGAAGAAGAAGAGGATGATGATGATGACTCAGAAGAGGGATATGTATGTCCCGAGGATCATTTCCCACGTGAAGCCAGAAGGAGGCCAACGAAGAAAGATTTGGACAAGGATTTTGACCCGAACAAGGATGTAGGGAAAAAACCTTAGCTTGTAAATTTTGCTAAAGCTTTGGTTGTTTTACCTCTGCTAACACTTTGACCTGTCGTATATACAGGTTCCTCCTGCAACTCGGAAAAGATGACGTCGACGTCCGTGACATCTCGCTAGACAAGATGGAGTAGCGGAAAGGAGAGCAGAGGCAACAGCCACAGAGACGGATATTGAGGCCTCTGCTCCACAACCTCAAGACACAACCACGACTACCAAGCCTAAGAGGAAATGAGGGGATAGAAAAGCAAATCAATATCCAAATAAGGCATGCTATGTGATAACGGAGGTCAGGCCAGCAGGGGAGATCCTTGAGCTCAAGAAATTAAGAGGACGATTCTGTAATGCGATCGGGGCCCTAGTAAGAGATAAATTGAACCCAGCAATCCCTAATTGGAAAGAGGTACCAGAGAATAAAAAGGATGAACTATGAGATAGGCAGCTGAAGCTCAATTTTAGATTTCCTGAGGGTAAGCATGAACTGGTAAAAAAATGCTTTCAGGATGATGGGAGAGTCATTCCGACGTTGGAGGTCGGAGCTCAACAAGAAGTATATCTAAAAGGGGTAAACTTCCTTCAACGAGTTCGGCAACATAACTCTTAGTCAATGGAAGGAGCTCGTGGCTCAAGACTTCACCGGAGGCATTAGAGCTCAGTGCCCGATAACACCGAGCTGGCGAAGAGGAACATACACCACCATCATCTAGACCCCGGTGGCTACTATGCCAAGGAAGAGTAGTTTAGAAAGATGGACGAAGAGGCCGTAGCTACTGGGAATATCGACGTGACGAATTTGAAGGTACGCTCAAGGAATTAGATATATGCGAGGTGTACAGAATCATCCAACGGTAATCTTAAGTTTGATAAGCCGGAGACCCAAGAGGTAGTATCAAGGATACTAAAATATGCTGAAGACAAGGAGAAGGGCTCATTCAATCCTTCCAGAGAGAGGGACGAGCTTAGCCTTGGCTTGGGAAACAAGGAGCACGCAGGCCGCACCAGGGGGCTAGGGAAAAGGATGACCTAGAAGCAAGGATTCGAAGAGGACAGGCATATGTACAAGAAACATGGCAAAGACCGGGAGACTAATCTTGAGCTCCAAGTGAAGGCTCTAGTTGCGAAGGCGCTGGAGGAGCAAGTACTGTCTACGGAGCCACGGATATTAATGACGCCATGCGGGAGAACTGGCATTAGTTGGCAACCCTCTAAAAGTTCCTAGAAGCCAAGGTTCCACTACAGCCACAACCCCCGTCGATCGCATACGGGAACCAACTAGTTGCACCTTGGTGTTTCTCAACAGCTGGTAGAACATTGTGATGGAGGTGGCAACGGGTGTGGCACATCCTCCCGGTGGCTTACACCACAATAATAAGATGCCACCGGACTACACTAGGGTCGAGGTGCATACCATGAAGCCCAAGTTCATGTAGTGGAGGATAGACTACGCAACTCTCGAGGGCTGGTGTTACTCGGAGACGTTATGGGGTAGTTCATCCTCTGGCACAAATGGGACATTATATTGACTGCTTCTTCGCCGCATCCCCCTCTCCCAAATTTGGAGCGAGTTGTTGAGGTCAGGGAAATATTTTCACCATCTCGTGACCACCACATTCCTGAGATGTCACATTCTTCCCCGCCTCCTAGCGAGCATGTGCCTAATAAGCCACTACCTTCTCCATCTCGTACCGAGCAAGTGCATGATGAGATGCCACAGTCTTCTCGACAAGCACAGTCGATACATGAACAACGAGTGCCTCCTGAAGAAGGTGATGCACAAGAAGATGAGGATGTGCCTGAATGGGAACTTTGAAAGAAGCATCCAATCACCATAAGACTAGTTTATGTTCCGATGAAAGATGTCTCGTCGGTGCACAAGTGGTATTCCCATGACCAGTTCAAGACTGAGAACTAAGTTAAAAAAGTCACATCACGGGGTTCTGAGGAGGCCGTCACTAGCAAACTCCACCAAATAGCAAAGCAGTATCCAAATGTTGATGCCATCAAATGTTCAAAGGATTGTCCGAAAACATATGAAAGAGGCAAGCCCTTCCTACCAAACCAGGACATCCAGCGCCTACCACTTGGAATAAGAAGGTTCCATGATTGGTACTTGCGTGTTCTCCCAATAAGCATAGACCTCATACAAGCATGCTTCCCCACCGACACATTTGGAAATCTAGACGGGAAAATTGTCTTTGACTTCAATGACATGCAGACATGCTTTCACCTCGGAGCAATGGAGATGAATCTAATTCGTACGTGGTGCCTGTAAGTCCTTGTCCTCCCGATATGATATGAATATAATCTTTGAATTTTGTTGTAACTAACCCACGCTGTGATTTGTAGAATGCAAGTGCACATTATCAAACAAATGCCAAGTGTGAAAGCCGGGTATATAGACCCTCAAGCTATAGCACAAACAAATTTTAATTACCCTAAATAGTGGAAACTGACTGTCAAAAAGCTAGCTACTAGAAAGACCATTCGGGAACAAGAGCACATCCGTACGGCGAAACTAAGGGAAGAGTCCCTTAAGGTTGCGGCATATATTGCCCTGGCTTTTAAAATTCTCCAACAGCACTCTACTATATGGCTAACATACAACTTCGAGTAAGTTTAACTCTATACTTAAAGGTTTGTTCGATATATTTTATTCGATGCAAAAGAGTTTATCTAGTTTTATGATTAAATTCAAGCAGCAACCACTGGATTTGTATAGGCGTCGATGTCGGGAGGAGCATAGCATGGGTCTTTGATTCAATAGATAGGGACCCGGTGACATACAGAGACTTCATATCGATTCTCAAGACGTATACATATCGACAATCCTCAGTAGCTTATATGTTTGTATACATACTTGTAACGTTCACTTTTGGATACTAACAAGTTGTATTTGCTAAAATAATTCGAATACGGCATTTAGGTTCTATGTCACTAAACATCACGGAAGGCATGATCCAGCAAGGAAAGAAAAGGTGGCTATAAAAACACTATGTGCGGTAAGTGTAACTTACTTCTTCAGTACTCCATTACATGGCTGTCAAAAGCATTACTTAACATTTCTATATGAAAAACACACAGTGCCCCAAGCAAAAGCCTAGGAGTGTACATTGTGGATACTATATATGTTCTCTGATAAGTAACACCGGTGCCTACAGGAGACACCCCTTAAGGTTAAGTGTGAACCACCCGTAGTATAAAAACTTCGCACATGGTATGAAATAATAAACCGAAACTTGTTCTCTTGTAGTGGAAAAAGAGAAAGAAATAAAAAGAGACCCATACAAGGATGACCAACTCTTAGAGCTCGTCGACGACCTTTGCAATTTCATATTGGACCAGATTGTACACGTCAAAGGCACCTACCATGACCGAGAGTCTGACTTAGGTAGAAATCCTCAGTACCAATACCTTTGTGAGACTGAAAGGCTAGCTCTAGAACGTTGATATAATTGTATATGAAATTTGACATTGGTTTTACCTTGTGAATTATGTCTATTTAATGATGGATTGTATATATTCTTGTGAATTGGACTTGTAATTGTAGTTTATATAATAATCTTGTGCTTGTAGTTTATATAATAATCTTGTGCTTGTAGTTTATATAATACTCATGAGCGAACGCGGTTCAGAATGTTGGTCGCGGGGCGTTCGACGGGATTATCTCGCTTTCCTCGCTCACGTTGGTCGCGGGCATTCGGCAACACGAACGTTGGATGGAATACGCGGAAACAAAAAATGTTTTGGTCAAATTTGAATTGTGAATTTGAATTTTTTTTACGGGAAAACGTACTGTAGAACCGCCTCTACAAACAGGTATTATAGGGGCGGCTAGTACTACAGCCGCCCCTACAAATCGATTTGTAGGGGCAGCCTGAGAACCGCCCCTACAAATGCATGATTTATAGAGATGGTTTGGTAGGGACGGCTGACCAAACCGTCCCTATAAATGGTCTTCAGCCGTCCCTGCAAAACGTTTATGTAGTAGTGGATTTTTCATCACATATTTAGATGCATGAACTATCTGACACAACTTCTAACAAACACGAAACACGCCAGTCAATGCAAATCTTGGGCAATCGTAGTCAAGATATACACTAGAGTATTGGTTTCGGCTATACGCTCGTCTACGTGAACAATGATTGGTGGAGACGTCGGCATCATGCGAGATGCAAATTTACGCGAGAAACTTAAGATGTCACACGGTGTTGATTTAGAAACAAAAATAGGTCCAAATTTAGAAATATGATTATGATTTTAATAAAAGTATTACTCTTTATCGCTGCATGTAACCTACACATGATTTCCACTGTCATTGTCACTGAAGCTGGATTTTCGGTTGGGTGCGCGTTCATACTCGTACGGATTGTGAAGTGGCTCATCGACAGAGCTAGCCACCACGAAAATCAACTTCATGGGGTGGCACTTTCCAATTGGCAATCGTTGGCACCATCTCAGCATTCTCAGTCTATGGTTCTTCTCCAACAAACAAGGGCATTATTGTCATTGCGCTGGCTCTTATACTTTTCTAACTCCGTCTGGCCGGCCACCTATAAATACACACATACTCCCTCCTCCACTTCCAAAGCAAAAAGAAGCAAGCTGCTAGCACCAATGGCGGCCTCCTCGTCCTCGATCCTCCTGCTGCTCCTTGCCGCCACCTCTGTGGCCTGCGCGAGCGCCTCCACCTTCACCATCAGGAACAACTGCGGCTTCACGGTGTGGCCAGCAGCCACCCCAGTGGGCGGGGGCCGGCGGCTGGACCCTGGGCAGACGTGGAGCCTGTTCGTCCCTGCCGGCACAAGCTCCGGCCGCGTGTGGGGCCGCACGGGCTGCTCCTTCAACAGCAACAGCGGGAGCTGCCAGACGGGCGACTACGCCGGCGCGCTCTCCTGGAAGCCTCCCATGACGCTGGCCGAGTTCACGCTCGGCGGCAGCCAGGACTTCTACGACATCTCGGTGATCGACGGCTATAACCTCGCCATGCGATTCTCCTGCAGCACCGGCGTGACCCTCAACTGTGGCAGCTCCAGCTGCCCCGACGCCTACCTCTTTCTCAACGACAACACCAAGACCCATGCCTGCAGCGGCAACAGCAACTACCAGGTCACCTTCGGAGTTGCTGTTGCCGTTGTAGGCATGGGTCTTGTTGTTGTCGCTGGGAAACAGGTAGGCGTCAGGGCAGCTGGACCCGCCGCAGTTGAGCGTCACGCCGGTGCTGCAGGAGAATTGCATGGCGAGGTTGTTGCCGTCGATCACTGAGATGTCATAGAAGTCCTGGCTGCCGCCGATGGTGAACTCGGCCAGCGTCATGGGAGGCTGCCCGGACAGCGTGCAGGAGAGCGCGCCGCCGCAGTCGCCTGTCTGGCAGCTCCCGCTGCCGCCGTTGAAGGAGCATCCCGTTCGGCCCCACACCCTGCCAGACTGGGTCCCCGCCGGCACGTCCATGGTCCACGACTGCCCAGGGTCCAGCTGCGTGCCACCGCCCACGGGCGTGGCCGCCGGCCACACCGTCGAGCCGCAGTTGTTAGTGATGGGTGAATGTGGCTGCTCTTGCGCTGGCCGCAAAGGCAGCTGGCAGGAACAGGCTGAGGACTGAGGAAGAAGTAGCTCCGGACGCCATGAATGCTAGCTGCTAGTTGTCTCCGACGTGTGGTGAGCTAGCTAACCTGTTCGGTTGGCTGGTTCGTTTCGTTGCTGGTTCGTGAAGAAGTACTGCTGACTAGTTTGTGTGAGAGAAAAATACTGTTCCGACTAGAAATTTACGATCATTTACGATAAACAACAGCCAAACGAACAGGCTTAGAGCTTTGTAGTGTGGAGGAGCTAGGGAAGGATGCATGCGTATTTATAGCTGCGTGGCAGGGGAAGAACGGGGTTTGGAAAAGTCAGGGCTGACGGAATGACAAAGTTACCCTTGATGAATTATATCTATCGGCAATTTTGGGTGACAGCGAGACGGTTCAGCTGTTCCATTGTTTCCTCCACTTCAGCTAGTGAATGAGATTCAGATATCGCCAAATTTTTAGGTAATTTCCTGTGTATGGACCGTGGATATTGAGATCTCGAAACAGCATATTGGAGTATATTCCAGAGTATAGCAACTGCAGTTTTTTTTGTCTTTGAACTGATAGTATTATTATAGTACTCCAATTTTTAAAACTCTACTTTATTACCTAAAGGCCATCCTTGAAAGCAAGGAATCATATAAGAACATCCAAAAAAAAACTCTATCCACGGGGGGCTATACAGAGTGTCTGGGTAATTTTCTTAAGAAGATCTTCTCATGCATATCGAAAAACCCCTCGAATCTCTATTCCATCCATACAAAACGGCACAGCGACCCACACAATACTGGGCTGGACTTTAGACATATGCTTTCTTTGGCGAAAAAACAAGTTCAATTTCATATATATGAAAAATACATGATTTAGGGGGAGCAAATCCTTTGCTTAAATATGATTTATATATGAACCTTCGTGCACCACAAACCAGCTCCCCCAAAATAAGTTAGGCAAGAGTAGGCGGCATATTTGACTGCAGGAGCATATCCATCGTTGCTTCTTAGAAGTTTGTGGCATGCATTGCGCTGCCGTGTAACATTGGTTAGACTTTGTCGGTATGTAACTCGTGTAGAATTCTAGATCTAGATGACCGGACTGGAAATTCTAACCCTACTCGACCAGGACGTACTGAGAAAACACATTAATAATGCAGCTGTGTGCTTGTTGAAATAAATGGACAAGAGTGCCTAGTTACTTGATTTATTAGTATTACATACATATATAGTGCTAAGAACCAGCCTCATATCTCATCATTCTATTTACACATGAATACTTATGAAAATCAGCCGCTGAATTTTCCTTAGTTTTGGGTTACGGCACCTGCACGTATTGTATGCAGGGTTCAAAATTTTGGCGAGAAATAAATGGACATGTGGAAATACGTGGTGGGCGGACCTTACTTCGATGCATGGAATAAAATGTCTAATGTCTGTAGAAGTCATATGGAGAGAAATAAATGGACATGTGGAAATACGTGGTGGGCGGACCTAACTTGGTCGATGCATGGAATGGTCAACAGACGTGCGAGTCTGCAGTGAACCGTTTTTAGACCTATACTTTTTATTTTATGATCACTCGTACACACATGAATATCAGGATTTCATATCATTATTACTACAGAACAAACCATCTTTTCAGCCCATCCACTCCCAAATGTGCTGTAGCGCCATCTTCACTACCGGGTCCTAATCATAGGATCAATCCGACAATATATTGGGATCTTATTGAGCCCCGGCAGTGAAACCCCTCTCACTCTCAGGTTGAGTCACGAGTCACAGTGATATACCAATGCCGGATCTTGACAATATCATTAACGGTTTAGTAGTGTCTTAGCCACGGTTTAAATCCAATATCTCTCTGTTGGAAGCCAAAGGAGGGACAGAAGGGAAGAAGAGAAAAAGGAGAGAAGGCTGAGGAAGAAGAGAGACACCCTATAAATCAGCTTTGCATCCGCCACACCAAAGATTAACCGCATGTTGGAAAGCTTGGTTTCCAGCAGTCGAGACAAAGAAAGACAACGATAGCCTTCGCCCGGTCAAGAGCCCTGGGCGAAGGGGAGATTAATGAAGAGGTGGGTCCGAACTTGACTAGGGTTGCATTAATGTCTCTCCATCTTCTTGTACAGAGTTTGAGTCCCCCCTTTTATAGGGCACTGTTTTCTAGAGCTACTCTTTATATTTTCTACCTCTTGTCGGTTACAGCACATTCGTGGAATATTCCTATGCAAATGCAAGCCCCTTGGGGCAGTTTGGGTATCCTCTTTCCTTTACCGCCTTTGCCTGTTGGCCCACTGTCGACAACCCATCATCGGCCCATGGCCCAGTAATGCCGCCGAGCGGGGGCTTTCCCTAGTTCCGGGGCCTCTGCGCGGGAAGCCTTCGTTGGAGCTTCCTGACCTTCGCTTCTGGCGTCCGTGCCATAGCCTTCGCTCGTGCCGCGAGAGCCTCCGCCCCCGACCGCGTCCTAGCGCCTCCGCCATAGCTCCCCGGCCTTCACCTCACGTGATCTCCCAAGCGAAGGCCTAGGCCTCCTTTCCCTGCACACTGTTCATAAAACTCGTTAGTTGTTAGTTCTTATAGCTTTTGCGAACTTTGCCCTCCGCATCTCATAACTATGTCCCAACAGTTCCCCCCTCGAGGGCTTGGTCTGATGTGGTGGGCCTTGCCCTCAAAACATAGTCCTCAGGCTCTAAGGCGTGGAGGCTTCCCCCCGGTGGGCCTTGCCTTTGAAACCTAGCCTTCAAGTTTTGAGGCGCGGAGGCTCTTTGCGCATATGGAGGCTTTGGTCCCTTTCCCCACTGGGACGCCTAGATCAGACCACTACATTGGTGACGTGTCGTTATTTGATTCACCATGGTGGCTGTGGAACCAACGTGTTTTGGAACGGACGTGACCGTTGGCCCCGGAAGTCGAAGTGACGCGGCGGGGGCTATATAAGGGTTGGGAGGTGAAGGCTCCCCCGTCTCTATCTGAGCCATAGCTTTCACTGCTGTTGTTGTGTACATTGTCCCTTTGCGCCTAGTTTTCGCTTAGTTGGTGTTTGCCTTCGCTCCTTTTTGGGCTGTCACTAAGTCTTAGAAGTGGCCACGCCTGTCAGTCCTCCTCCACGCCGAGCTTCCTTCTTTGGGCCGTACCATCGCCATCTCGATGTTAGGTCTAGTGGGTGGTCTGCGTGGTTTGAGGACTGTATGATTGTCAGTGCAGAGGCGTTAGGGATTGAGGAGGATCTTTCTCGAGTTGAGGGCTCCATCGCTGATTTGATAATTGCAGAAGAGGCAGGAGACATGGCCGGCTCATCTAGGACGTGGGATTTTGGACCTTCACTTATGACGAAGGACATGATCAAGGAGTTGTGGCAGTTGGGCTGCTTTGGTGATGCTAAGGTGAAGTCTCCGGAGGGGGAGACGATTCCTAAGCCAAAGGCCGCTAATGCCATGGTTTTCAGGGATTTCTTCCTTTGCGGCCTTCGCTTCTTGGCAGCGTGCTTCCTTCACCAAGTCTTGGAAGCGTTCGAGGTACAACTTCACCATCTTACCCCCAATGGTATTGTTACCCTGAGTAAGTTCTACTGGGCCTGCTTGTCTTATGGTGTGGAGCCAAACGTTGGTACTTTCTATGAGTACTATGAGCTCTAGTGCCAGCCTAAACGAGTTGGCAAAGGCCAGTTGGTGGCGCAGTATGGAAGCTGCACTTTTATGCTGCAGAGGAACCAAATGGGTAAGAAGATGGAGATCTCCTTCGCTCAAAAGAACAAGTGGTCGAAGGATTGGATGCAATACTGGTTCTATGTGAGGACCGGTGGCATGACATCTATCGGCTCAGATGCCAAGAAGAATACCCGCTATCCGTTGGCTTCAGTGATGACTCCAATGAGGCCTTTGACTCAAGGGTCCCGCAGCCTGCGACAAGGCTTTTGCTCTGGCCTGCTGGTACTCCGGAGGCCGTGATTTGGTTGAGGAGATGGTGGCGGCCAACTTCTGGCCCCTAGGTAGGAATAGGCTTGCCATGACCATTGAGATGGTCAATCTTCCTATTTTTGGCGAAGGTGTTGGGGTTCCATTTCCCCGTTTTGGTTTTGAGAAGAAGGAGGGTCGGGCTGCTGAGAAATTGGTGAAGTCCACCGAGGCGATGGCGTGTGAGATACTCGGCAAAATGTCTAACAGGGGGTATCTGGCGCGCCAAGCCATCGTTGGTACTATGTCGTTGCTCAATAGAGTTTTTAAGGAGTTCAGCATCCACCACGAGGAACATGACATTCCTACGAAGGTGCACAAGTCCATAGAGGACAAGGCTAGGAAGGCCACCATCAAGAATGTGACTACTGTGGTAGAGGCGAAGAAAAGAAAAGGGGTTGCTATGCCCAAGGTCATCACCAAAAGGTGGAAGACTGTGGCTACTTCTGCGCCGCCTCCGCCGATGCATCCACGACCGCCTCTGCCAATGAGGAGGAGGAGGTTGCTGAAAATGTTGGCGGAGGCTCTGGCTCCGTTGCTGCCGGAACAGGTGCGAGCGCTCTGCTGCCTCTTTGGATCTTGGCGGCGATGACTTTGTGGACATCGCCATCCAAGGAATGGATGGTGGCCTTACTGCTAAACCCTCCATCGTGGCGCCTATGCCCGTCATTTTGGGTGATGAGTCTTCCAGCTCCGAGGGTGAAGGTGCTGGTCGTGGTGATGCTTCTTTGCCGAGAGAAGGGGAGGCTGCTAGTACTGGCCTTTGTTGTCCTGCGGCTAGTCTTGTAGAGGTGTCCGAGGACGAGGCGGAGGCAAGATCTCTAGTTGCTCCGTTTCAAAACATGAGGTTTGAAGCCACCGGTCATCACGTCGAGGATGCTGTTGGCTCAAATGTTGCCCCGAGTCCGTTTCATCTAGGAAAGTTGCCTCTT